AGGCTGCGATGGGTGTATTTTTGCTGACAAAGGTCACAGAAATGTACTGGCCGAATGACATTGCAGAAAAGGAGTCGCGGTCGTTTTCGCAGTGCTTGTTTTGCTGGGCTGGATTTTTAACTTGCCTCGTTTGGCTGATATTACGGCATGACATTGATTTTTCTTGATGCTTGTTTATGCAGGACCTTTTCCTGAGACAAGCCAGAGCAATACGCATGTCCTCCTTGTGACCGACTACTTCACTAAGTGGGTTGAAGCTGTTCCTCTGCAGAAGAAAGATCCTTTGTCGGTGGCTAAAGCCCTAGCTACTGTGTTTTACAGGTGAGCTCCTCTGCTGTTGGTTACATTGCACCTCTGCAGTGAGATGCGGCACGCTGGGATGCATGTTCCAAAAATACTCAAGGTCCACAAGAGCTGGAACTCTCCCTTCTACAGGAGAGACCATGCAGTGCCTCTCAGATGCTCTTTACAAAGTACTTGGGAAGAGCCTCTTTCCCTCTTGTTACCAGGGGAGGGAGAAAGAGTGGTTCTCTGAGTAGCCCCAAGGCCAGGAGGGCTGGTGCCACAGTTCTCTGCAGAAGTTTTAAAACTATTCCCTGACCCCTCCTAGGAAGTGGTTATTTTGGATTCACACCACCACGTGACATTGTCCTTGTGGGAAATGCGTGTGGCCAGTAGAGAATTGCATTCGGATCAAGAAACTTTGCTTGTTTTTCCTGCTGCCTTATTATTCAAAGGCAAACATGCTTGGCTGTTTTGGAGCAGATGGAACCAGCAAACCTTTGTCTGCTCTTGGGGAGGTGAGGTCATCCCGGGCTTTTTAGCACCAGCTCAACTGGAGGGTGTCCATCCCTTTTGTATCCCGTTTCCCATGAGGATTGAACTCCTCTGGCCCTGCCCTGCAGCTGATGGAGTAAAACCAGTTGTGTCCCCTCTTCTTGTTCAGGTTTGGAGCATCCAAGAACATTTACGCCAGTCAGAGCTGGGACTTCTGTGAGGAGGTAGGTCAGGTGCTGGGTGGTTCAGGGAAAAGCAGCATGACCTTCAGCAGTGGTTTTGGGCAGCAGGTTCTGAAGGCAGAGTTGCAGTGTGCCATTAGTGGGGGGCAAGGACCTGATGCTGCCTTCTCCCTGCCCCAGCAGTAGATGATTTGCCCAGTGCTTTCACCCTGTCAAGGATTTTAAGGTTGTGGTTCTGTGGTGCAAGTCCTGCAGCCGCACTGCAGCCTCTTTGCTCAGAAGGAAAGGTCCTGTGAGGCCACATCCATGAGATTCCTGCCCTACCCTGGGATTAACCCATCTTCCCAGTGCTGTGGGAAGCCTTGAGCATGGGAACAGTTGTTGCGAAACGTTTTCTCAGGCTCTAACTTTTCTGGGGAGCTTTTTCTGCTGAGCAGCATCTCCTGGGACGGGGACGGTGCCGTCTCGTGCTGTGGGTGCTGCTGGGGTGCAAACCTGCCTTGTTCTCCCGTGGGCATGACCCCCACCTTTGCAGGTCAGCCGGCATTTATGCGAGCGCTGGAACATCTCACAGATCCTCACCCCCGCAGAGCCCACAGACTGCACAGGCCTGGACGACCGCAGCGCCGAGGTGCTCAGGTCCTCCATCTGCAGCGTGGTGAACGAGAAACCCAGTGAGTGGGATGCCCACCTCGACCCCGTGCTCTTCGATTTCCGCACCTCGGTCAACTCTGCCACGAAGTACACCCCCTTCTTCCTCATGTTCAACAGATACGTGTGCCTGTCGTCCGAGGTAACTTCTCGACAAAGGAGTCTCCTAGAAGGTTTGCCACTGGTGCCATTACAGACTAACCCAAATATCTGTTACCTTGCAGGTGGATTTTGCCAAGGACTCTAAGGAGCAAGGGGCTAGCTCTGGTAAGGCAGACAGCCTCCCACCGTTCACAGCCGCGGTTCAGGAGCAGCAGAACGCGGTGAAAGAAATTGTGAGTCTTGCGGTGCTTTTGAAATCACCCTGCAGCTAAGCCCTGACAGGGTCCTGTGCACCAGGAGCTGCACAGAGGGGATTTGCCCCTGCAGGGATCACGCCACAGCGTGTGCCTGCGCAGGCACTCAGAGAGAACCCCTGCCCCCATCTGTCCAGAAGTGCCATCCCACAGCAGTCCTTTCCCTGCAGGCTCTCTCCTGTCACCGAGCATAGCAGGGAGCTGATGGGCTAGAGCGTGGCAGGGAGGCTGCGTGTCCAGCTGGGAAGGAGCAAGGCAGAAGCTGGATAATCACTGCCTGAGAGGTGGCCGATGGCACCTTGGTGGGTGTCAAAGGCAGCAGGAGCAGAGCCTCTGAGCTGGCACCATTTGGTGTGACAGGGAAGCTGGTGGTGTTGCTGCTCAGAGCTGTGATGAAATATGAGGGACTGGCTTACCCCATCAGGGCTAATGAGAGCTGTGTCCCAGCCTGCCCAGCACTCTGCCTTGTAATCTGCATCTCAGATCAACCAAGGGAGTCCCTCCTTAGGCAGGGACAAAAAGCTTTTAGGGCCATGCTGTGTAATTAAGAAGGTTAAAAAGTAACCCTGCCCCATAAAGGGAGGAGAGAAACTGGGGAGGTTGAGGCCACCATGAAGACTAGTGGCCCAGTGGCCAGCGAGCTGGGTTTGGGGAGCAAGGCCAGCATTCAGTTCCTGACTGTCTCTGACGTGCTGGGTGACCTTGGGCCAGTCATTTTGTCTCTCCCTTTCTTGGTTTCCTGACTTGAAAAATGACCTCAGTGTCCCCTGTAAAGTGCTTGGCGATCTGTGTGCCAACAAATAATAGACACAGCTCAAGTGCTTTGTTTGCTCAGTCATTTCTCACACTCAGACAGAGCTATGCTCTGATCCCACCGGGACTCTGATTCTTCTTGCCAGGGAATAGCAGCAGTAAAACAGGGCAGGAGGGAGGAGGCCTGGGAGCTGAGTATGTGGGATCTATTCCCAGCTGATCCCTCTGGAAGCTCAGGCTCGCTAGCTCGGATTCCCCTTTTGAGAAATGGAGATGCCCATCGTGGCACGGGGCAGTGAGAGCTCCATCTGGATAACACCAAAGCATCCTGCCTGCTCCATAAGGACACTTCTGGTGTCCAGGTGGCTGACATTTGCCTGCAGACCGTCCAGGATTGGGGCTGTGATTAACAGGAGGTGATAAAAGTTTCCTTTGGCTCTGTGTCGTGCCAGCCTAGATCCCTTTCTGCCCTCTGCTGATGGAGAACTAACGGCTCCCCTGAGCACAGCCGTGAAATCACAGGGTTTTTTTTATTGTAAGGTCTCCTGCTAGTTTGGGGTTGGTGAGAATAAGGTTGGAAAGACCTTGCTTCGTCCCTCCCTTGCTCCCGGGTGTAAACCAGCCCTGCTGGCTCTTGCTGGCACGGCCTGGGCTTGCCCAGCAGAGCTCTGCACGCCGCAGCGCCCGGCTCTCGCTTGCCAAGCTCCCGTGAGGCGGGTTCTTAAGTTGATTTTTAAGTGGCATCTCAAGGCCCAACCCAAGCAATCTGCTTTCCAGGTGATCGCCAACATGACCGCAGCCTACAAGCGAGAGCGGAAGAGCGTGAAAAGGAAAAGTCGGGGCCTGCCCTCTCTTGCCTTCAAAGTGGAAGAGAACGTGTTTGGGAGCAACGCCGCCAGCTCCCTGAAGAAGCTGAAGAAGGGCCAGTTCGTGTCCTTTCAGATCGAGACGGTCCTACCACCTGAGCAGAGCATGTCGGGCGTGAAGAAAACCAGTTAGCCTCAGGGGCTTTTTTTTGGGGGTCGCGTGGGGCCGGGGACAGGAGCACAAACTGTCCCTGAGGTTTGTGGCCCAGCTGCATGGGTGGGAGTCCAGGGCGCAGACAAGCCTGCTCTGTCCTGGGGAGAAAGGAAGGGGAAGGTTCAGACAAAGGTGTCTGTTCAGTCCCTTCCCAGTCCAGGTTTGCCCTTGGACCATCCCGAGGGAAGCGGTGCCATCCTCGTGGATGCTTCGGCAGTGAGAGACTCGGTCTTGCCAAAAAAACTCCACCTTGGCTACAGCATGGAAACTGTCTCCTGAGGAGCAGTTGCATCGAAGCCCAGGGAGGGATCTTGGGTGGAAATGAGAAGAGAAGCAGAAGGTAGACCCAGCTTGGCCATGCTGCGGTTTGTTTCCTACAGCTTAAAAATGTCCTCCCAACTGTCTGCCTGAACCGGGAAGAGTCGCACCAAGTCTGACTGCATTCCCAGTGGACGTGGGAATGGCCTGGAGTGAGCTTTTTTTTTTCAGTTTTAAGCACTAATTAGCAGAAATAAAATCACCAATAGAACGCGATGGTTTTATTTTTGGTTATTCAGGCAGAGAAAAAGGAGTTTTTCCTTTCTTCTCTCCAGAAAGGGAGCGAACTCCAGGAACCCTGTAGCCTCTTCCTGTGCTGGTGGGGGGTTATAGGGGTGTTTTTAAGTCCAGCACCCAAAAATGTAGAGAAACTTTGGGATAATGGCACCGAGCAGCCCCTCTGCCACCCGTATGGCCCAGTTGGAGGCACAGATGTGGGCCAGGGAAGAGCCTGAGCGCTGCCATCCCTCCGGAGCTGCCACGGGGACTTGAAGGGGAAAAATAATTTATAAGTTGGATTTCTTGAAACTGTGTCCCTCTCTGAGCTGGGGGTTAATTTAAACCCCTGGTTGAGCCCAAGTTTAGGGGTTTAGGGGTTAATTAAAAAAAACCCACCCTGTTGAGCCCCTATTTAAGGGTTAATTTAAAAACCCCAGCATCGAGCCCTTGTCCTGGTTGGTTGGAACGCCCAGCTGCCTGTTGTATTTTCTCCTTCTGCTGCGGAATTAAGTAAAATAATAACCAAATAAAAGAAAAAACCAATAAAATAATATAAAAATAGTAATAATGAAAATGTTTATTTTTGTAAGTAAAATAATAACCAAATAAAAGAAAAACCCAATAAAATAATATAAAAATAATAATAATGAAAATGTTTATTTTTGGAAAAAAAAAAACAAAGCCGGGAGGGGCGGGGCCATGTCCAAAGCCACGCCCCCCACCGACCTTGTTCCCGGGACGCGCCGCCGCCGCCGCCGCTGCTGGGCAGGACCGGGCCCATCCTCGCCGTTGCTACCGGTAAGACCCCGGTCCGGGCGGGTCGGGAGCGCGTTACCCTTCGTTCTGCAAAGGGGGAAACCGCGCGTTCCCCTTCCCGCCGCCTCCCCTCGCCACGGCGGGCACCGGCGGTTCCCCCCGGGTCCTCCCGCAGCTCCTACGGGGGGGATGCTGGGCACCTTCGGCATCTCCTGCTTTGTAGCTGGGGACACCTTTGCGGGTGGCAGGGTGGCTGCCTCCTCCTCCTCCTCCTTCTCCTCCTCCTCCTCCGCCGGGCCGGCTCGGCGCAGCTTTGCAGCGGAGGGCAGCAGCGAGCACCCTGGGAAGCGTGTCCAGCTCCTCCCTGGCACTGCTGCTCCGCTTTCCCTCCCTCCATCCCTCCCTCCCTCCCCAGGAACCCTCCCCCCTTCTTCCCCAGATCGCAGCTTCTGCCCTGTTTTACTCCCCCCTTCTAGCTTTTTATCCCCCCTGCCCAACCCCGCAGCCGCTCCTCAGCCCGGGGTGCCCCTTGACCGGTGCTGGGGGCTGCCCTTTTTTCCCCCATGGTTTGCTTTGGGGTGGCCGCAGAGGTGGCTGCAGTCGGAGGACACAGGCCAGAGGGTGGCCGACACGTAGGGCATCATTTTGGGCCATTCCTCCCGCACCCTGCACTGTCACGAGCTGCTTGGCCAGCACAAATCCCAGCACCCGGTACCTCCCTCGTGCCAACGTGCGGCACCCACCCCTGGGCACAGCACGGGAGCAGGTGAGCAGCTCCCTCCCTTCAAAAGATCTCCAGCTTCTCGCCCTTCTCTGCGTCAATTCAAATCCAGCCCCACCATCGCTGTCACCCATCAGACCCACGGGTGACGGTGAAGGTGGCATCCCGCCCCGGAGCCTCCCTCTCCCGTTGGGATGCAGCTCTGGGTTTCCCACCCCCTTTTTAATTTCCTCTTGGGGTTTTTGTTGTGTCGCTGAATTGCACGCTGCCAGCACAGAGGGTTTAGTGGGTTACCCCAAATTGACATTCAAGAGGGCCACGGACAGCAAGGTGTGACTTATTCTGTGATTTATTCTTCTTTAGACGAGGGGGGGTCTCTCACAAAGCAGAGATGCTCTCCTTTCTGCTTTCATGCGGGTTTGTGTGCTGGGTTTCAGCTTTGAAGGTGAGGAGGGACTCTCAGGTCACGAATGTCCGAGTTTAACACCCACACGGCTCCGTAGCGCAGGACACGTGGGCTGCTCACACGTCCCAGTGTCACCCAGCTGCCAGGGACCTCGTGGCCCCACAGCCACCGCAGCAAGGGGGGATGAAGATTCCCACCGAGACGTGCAGATTTCTGCTGAGGGATTCGGGATGGGTGGAGGCATTTGGGAGCAAAGTTTGTCTTCGTCTGTGGGTTCTCATTTTATGAAATGTCTTGGAGGATATAGAGCAGGGGAGGAGGGAGCAGATAGTGGTGTCTGGGATCGGGACGCGCTAGTGGGGAGCTGGCCCAGTTGTCCCCCTGTCCTGCTTCCCTTTGCCACCATGTCCCCAGGACAAATAACAACTCTGTCCTCTTCTTATCATAGAATCATAGAATGGTTTGGGTTGGAAGGGACCTCAAAGATCATCGAGTTTTCCAACCCCCCTGCCATGGGCAGGGACACCTCCCACCAGACCAGGTTGCTCAAGGCCACAGCCAGCCTGGCCTTGAACACTTCCAGGGATGGGGCATCCACAACTTCCCTGGGCAACCTGTTCCAGTGTCTCACCACCCTCATAGTAAAAAATTTCTTCCTGATATCTAATCTGAATCTTTTTTCTTCCAATTTAGCTGAGGCCAACACGACCATGTCCTCCCTGTACTAGGGCTGCCCCCCACAGCCTTGGTGACCCCCCAGACCGGCAGCAAGGATGCGTGCCTGGAAGGCGGTGGCCAGCACGCTGGCGCTCAGCGGGGCTGATGTGGTGGTCACCACCCTGCTCTACACCCACGGCCGGGGTGGCCGGGATATCCTGCAGGACCTGCGGCACTTCAACATCTTCAACTCGCTGCTGGACATCTGGGGGGGCTGCCTCTACCGCAGCTGTGTCCTGCTGGGGGCTGCCATCGGGGTGGCCACCAACACGGCTTATGGCCCCCGGCGCCTCAGGGCATCGCGGACCTTCATCGCCATCGTCTGCCTCCTCATGGGCATCTACATGATGGTGAAGTTGCTGCTCTATTCGGAGGTGCGGAGGACCATCAGGGACCCCTGGTTCTGGGGGCTCTTTGCCTGGACCTACGTGGCTCTGGCGGCCACCTTCGGGCTGTGGCAGCTGCTGGCCTGTGTCACCTCCTCCCGTGAGGCGCTGGGACCTGGCTCCGAGTCCCGCGCTGAGGCAGAGGAGATCTGCGATGGTGGTGCCCCACGGGACAAGCGGGAGGAGGCGGCAGGTCCCACCATCCATAAGCTGCTGTCCTACACCAAGCCGGACGCCTTCTTCCTGGGCATCGCCTCCTTCTTCCTCCTCGTGGCTGCACTGGGTGAGTGAAGGGACCTGGAAGTGCCATGGTGTGCGACCATCCTCACCGGGAGGGAAGGAGCCGTGGTGGGGGCGGGGGGGACAACTTGGCAGAATCCCAGGCTTGGTTTTTTGGGGGTGATGGGTGGCACATCCTGCATGGGCTGGGTAAAAAAATGCAGTCGGGCAACAAAGGTGCAATAGGGGTAAAATACTCTGGGAAATTAAACATCCCCACATGGGCTGCACCTCCTGAGACATTTCATGCGATGGCTGGGTATCTCCATGGTGGGGATTGGATTGTCCATGGGCCATCACTGTTGAAAGTACTGTGCGGTGGGGCTGAAACCCCTTGTCCTGTGCTTGTCTGGCAGGAGAGACCTTCCTGCCCTACTACACGGGGCTGGCCATCGATGGCATCGTGGTGCAGAAGAGCATGGACCGCTTCTCCACGGCGGTGCTGGTCATGTCGCTGCTCGCCATAGGAAGGTAATCGCAGGGGCTGCTTTTGGCCCTGGTGAGGATGAGGTTGGAGTTTTCCAGCAGGAGCTCGTGGTGGCAGTGGGCATGGGCTGTCTTACCTGCAGCCGCTCCGCTGGGTCCCTGCCAGACCCCAGGGATGTGCTTTGATTTCTCTGCGCTGTCACAGTGCAGAGAGGCCGTGGTGGCACTCATGAGCTCTCCACATCCATCTGCTGGTGGTGGGGGAGCAGGAACAGACACAGGGAATGGGCTCCCTGGGGAATGTTGTCCCAGCAGTGCTACGTCCCCTCCTGAAGCTTGGCACTACTGGGGTTAGGACCAGCCATCCCCATGCTGGTGGTGCCCAGAAGAGTTATGGACTGGATTAGGCATTCCTTCCCGGGGTGGACAGTGGTACCAGCATGGCGTTGCCCAAGCCCAGGCATGGGGGTGTTTGTGTTGCTGAGGAGCGGGTTTCGTGTCCATTGGTCTATAACGTTTCTTATCTGCAATTAGCTCATTTGCCGCAGGTATCCGGGGCGGCGTTTTTACGCTCATATTTGCAAGACTGAACATTCGCCTTCGCAACTGCCTCTTCAGGTCGCTGGTGTCTCAGGAGATGAGTTTCTTTGATGAGAATCGCACAGGTTGGTTCTTCTTTCCCCTGGATTTGTCCTAATCTCTCTATCCTATCCTGGTATTTTTTTCCCCTCGGTTTGCCCTCCTGTAGCTGATTTGGGGCAGCCACAGATGGCCCCCAAGTGCTCGTGTTTAGAAACAGGGGCAGAAAGCTCTTCCCTTTCGGGTGCTTCCCACTGTGGGGTTGGGACAGGATTGCCCAGCACTCTAGGGATGTCCCATTGCCACTGATCAGCCTGGCATTCAGCAGTCCCAGGGCTCACATGCTCATCTCTGGTCATCCCCAAAACACCTACGTTCCTCCTCCCGTGCCTGCTGATCACCCAGTCTCCAGCTCTGCTCCAGGGATGAGAAATCTCAGATGTGTGCAGCTTGCTGGGCATGCTTGTGGCTTTCTCTGCTTGCCATTCAGTCCTGTCACAGTCTGTGCCACCCTGGTGTGGTCCCAGCCCACTGTAACTTCTTCCACGTTTAATTTCTTCTCGGCGGTATTTTTAGTTTTGAGGCTGTTGCCGTATTTAGCAACCGCTGCACGATGCCCTGGTAGCTGAGGACACCAGAGATGTTATTGTAAGTGGGATACGGGTAACCCTGGGCTTACACAAAAGCATGGGAATTCAGCTGGGCTCAAACACCGGCCAAGTATTTAGGAATTCAGGGTGATGTTTGCTGGCTGTGACGTTCAGCTGGACCCAAGTTCTCAGGGCCACGTGGGTCAGCTAAACCCAAACAGTGTAAGGTGCTGTGACAGTCCCCTTCGCTGTCCTGCAGCCATCCGTGGTGACCCAGGGATGTAGCCGATGCCTTCAGGTGCATTTCATGTCCCTTTTACATGCAGCGATTCAAGCTCCTCTGTTTTGCTTCACATCTGCAGCGGTGGAGAGTCACCCCCTTCCATGCCACCTTTCAGACCCCCAGCGAGCGGCTGCGTTTATTGGGGAGCTCCATTTGGCCCCTGGCATGAGACATGAGATGCAGCTAGGCAGTGACCTGCTGTGGTGACATGTCCCTGCTCTCCCCTTCCCCAATCCCTCATTGCTGCAGGGGATGTCATCTCCCGCCTGACATCGGACACGACCATCGTGAGTGACCTGGTGTCCCAGAACATCAACATCTTCCTGCGCAACGTGGTGAAGGCTACAGGGGTGATCTTCTTCATGTTCAGCCTCTCTTGGAAGCTCTCACTCGTCACCTTCATGGGCTTCCCCATCATCATGCTGGTTTCTGATGTCTATGGGAAGTACTACAAGGTAAGCAGGAGTGGCTGGCATGGCCATGGTGTGCCACAACGCTGGGCTGTTCCCCTTGGAGAAGGGGAACATCATGGAGATTCTGGGTGGCCTTGGAGCTGGTGGGACCGATGTTTGGGCGCTTTGCTGCCGGCTTTGGGGGCAGGAAAGCAGTATTAAACCTGTATGGGCAGATGCGCATAGCCTCGACTCTTGCCTTGCTTCATGCTGAGGAGTAGAAGCATCTCAGGGTCTGAGAGGAGAGGGAGCTTGGCTGTGGGATGTCACATATGTGCCTGCCTGTCCTCATGCAAACTGTCCTTTCCCTTTGGAGTGACTCAGATGGGGGTTAAACCCAGTACCGAGCTTCTTCCCTCTGCCTGGGGCTCATGTGGGCCAAGGGCCATGCCCTGCAGCTAATACCATGTCCTATGGACCATGTGAGTCCTGCACTGCTGCTTCCCACTTCAGTTATTGGAGCTTTCCACTGTGCCAGGGACACGGTGTGCACGGGTGCTGCCAAAACCAGGTCCTTGGGTGCTGCCTCCCTTGGCCATGGCTCCTCCTGCAGATCAGGCGTTTGTGGGAGGAGTGGGGCTGCCCTTGGTCTCCAGACCTGTCCCTGACTTGAGAACTCCTGGAAGGGCTCCTGGGACAGGCTGACCCTGTCTGATCAGGGCACCGGGAACAGCAGCTCCACCACAGGCTTCCCAAGTGGGCACAGCACTTCACCTCCTGCAGCCCAGATCCTTCCTTGGGGACAGCACAACGAATCCATTCCTCTCCTGGCACAGGGTCCCAGGCTGTCCTGAGGTGTGGGATAGATCCCAGTGCTCAGCCTTGTTGCCTGTTGCCTTGGAAAATGTCACTGTGCCTTCTTTTCCCAAGCCCAGGGTGTGCGGGGAGAGGTACCATGGGCAGCCCGGCACCTGCTGAGCCCCCTCTGCCTCCCCCTGCTCCCCGCAGAAGCTCTCCAAGGATGTGCAGAACGCCTTGGCCAAGGCCAACAACACCGCCGAGGAGACCATCTCCGCCATGAAGACCGTCCGCAGTTTTGCCAACGAGGAGGCGGAGGCGAACGTGTACTGGCAGAAGCTGCAGCAGGTGTACAAACTCAACAAGCGGGAGGCCATGGCTTACACCTACTACGTCTGGTCCAGTGGGGTAGGTGGTGGGCACCAGGGCTTCCCTACTCCGGGCTGGGGAACATTGCTTCAGACCCCAAAATGCACGTGGGGCGATGCACGTGCTTCTCCTCCGCTTCCATGGAGCTTTGTGGGGCAAGCCCAGCCTTGATGTCTGCTGCCAGTAATCCTCTGTCTATTTTTCACTCATAGAATCATAGAATGGTTAGAGTTGGAAGGGACCTTAAAGATCATCAAGTTCCAACCCCCCTGCCCTGGGCAGGGACACCTCCCACCAGACCAGGTTGCTCAAAGCTCCATCCAACCTGGCCTTAAACACTTCCAGGGGTGAGGCATTCACAACTTCCCTGGGCAACCTGTTCCAGTGCCTCACCACCCTCACTGTAAAGAATTTCTAATCTAAATCTCCCCTCTTCCAATTTAAAAATATATTCATCAAAAAAATATATTCCGTTCCCCCAGCGCTGTGTTGTGCCCCTGAGCAGTCTGTTTTCTCTATTGCAAATAAGAATATAATTGATAAGCGCTCAAGGTCGTGGAAAACCCCGTGTTTCTGTGTTGCTGCATTGCGTGCCTGTGCCAGCTCATCTCCGGGGCTCCGGCTGGGAAACAGCCGCGGTGCTGGTTGAGCTTCTGCTCAGAAATGGAGATTTTTTTGTGTGTGGGTGGTGGTAGAGGGAGGCTGCTGGGGTTTGGGTTTTCTTGCGTGTTTTTGCTTTTTCTTTTTCTTTTTTTTTTTTTTTTTTAAATGCTTTTTCATCATTCAAGACCAGATGGTTTGGGACTTCTCCTGCATTGGCTGGTAACTAAGGCACATTCAAGGATCTAAGTAGCCTCTGGTGAAGGGTTTGTAAATTATGGTGCCCTCGTGCAGCTCTGGGAGACGTTATGGCTTCCCAAGTCTGGAAACAAAATCACAGCATTTTTAACATGGTTCCTGAGCTCCCAGGTGAAGCCCAAGCATTAACTGGGTCAGCACAGATCCCAGTGAGTTAAAGAAGGTGAAAACCCTCAAAAACTGCGCCTGCTGGGGCTCACATAGAAAGAATCTGATGGATTTAGCACAGTCCTGGTAGAGTCTTTGTTGGAGGGAAGGCAGGATCTTAAGGTCAGATTGTGGTAGAGCAGTAGAAGAGGATTTTTATTTTTTTTTTCCTCCAGTATTTTTGTCTGTTTGAATTTACAGCCTGTCCCACAGATGTCACACAGAGCACCAGGGCATTGCTGCTTTTCTGAGCACCCAGGCAGCGTGGAACAAAACTGGCTGAATAAAGGCAGGGGCTGGTATTTGTCATACCGGAGATGATCTGTCTCCTTTCTGGAGTAGGTGGTACCCCCCACACTGATTTCAGGCAAGAGTTGAGGTTATGCTTCAGGGACTTGTACATGCAAGGAGGATTTTTTGTATTAACTCTTGGCTTGATTTTGTGCTCTAAATTAAAATGTGTCACACTCATACAACAGAAAGTTTATTTTAGTGGGGAGGTGACTGCCTGTGTTGGATAATTTGAGCATAGATTATTACACTTGTGGATGTTAGTCCAAGAGAAAAGTTCATGAGATGCTCTGTTATTTCAGATAAATTCTCTTTCCTTGGCTGTTGCCCCTCTGGACTTCTATTTTGTTGGAGGATGCCAGCCCAGCTCCTTAAATCAGCCTCTGCACTTGAGCTGTTTTTCCCTTCTCATGTCCATGCTCGCTGCTAGGGCTGTCAGCTGTGTGCTCTCAGGGATGCTCAGTTCAGGGCTCAAAGAATAAATGTCAGAACGTGAATTGTGGGCTGTATGTGAGTAATTACACATACACCAAATACCAGCTATCCTTTCTGATTTTTGGGGTGTTTTCTTGCTTTCAGCTGACCCTCCTGGTGGTCCAGGTCAGCATCCTTTACTACGGTGGGCACCTCGTGATCTCAGGGCAAATGACAAGTGGAAATCTCATATCCTTCATCATTTACGAGTTCGTTTTAGGAGACTGTATGGAGGTGAGTCTGTTTTATCCCTCTGGGCTACCCCATATCAAGATTATATTTGTCTTCTAGAAGGCCCCAGGGCAGTCACAGGGCCAGATCCAGTCTTAACTTCCCTGCAATGTGTTTCCTTGACGCTGTGGCTTCACCCATCAGTGGGGTGATTCTCCCCCCTGCTCCCCACTCCCCTCCTTCTGAGGCCTCACAACCTGAATGCACCCAAAGCAGCTTCTCCCCTGCTCAGGCAATCAGAACCAAAGGGGTCAGGCTGGCCCCGCTGAAGGGCAGAGTCCTGGCTGTCTCCCAAGCACGATTCCTGGCATGAAGGATGCAGGGATTATGAAGCTGCCTGTTAAATTTCAGGCTTCATTAAAAACTTAATTATATTACTTCTTCTTTTTTTTTTTTTTTCCCTTTTCCCCTGGAATAGGCTGCAAGCTGCTGCGTTGGCAGCGCCTTAGCAAGATGAGATTGTGGGTGGGATGGTAGAGCCCACCCAGGGCTGCCTTTCCCTTGCAAAGGCACGGGCTTGGCTAATTGAGGCAGAAATGATCAAGTTGAGGTTTCCTCGCAGCCAAGTGTGGTTTCGGCGGCGCTTCAGCCTTTGTGCAGCGTCAGAGCGGAGCTGGAAGCAGCGTGCTCGGCTCTCACCATCTGTTCAGATGACTTGCAGGCTCTGGTGGTGTTTCCAGGCTGCGGTTTTGGTGTGAGTTTGGTTTGGTTTGGGTTTTTTTGTCCCTCCTGATGTGAGGGGCAGTTGTGGTAGAAGCTGTTCTGCAGCTCTGGGCTTAATATTGAAAAGAGCCGACATGACGGGGGGTTATTCCAGGGAAGCTGGTGTCAGGGTGCAGCAGTTGTAGTTGGGAAAACACGATGGTAAATCCACTGCCATCATATCCCAGCAGGGAACAACCCTATCAGCTGCCAAATGGTTGTCCTGAAAGGTCCAGCCTGGAGCTGCTCTGCCCTTGAGACACGTGTGCCAGGGAACGCGCTGTCTGCCCTTGGGGCTGGTGCGATGTGCTGCCTTGCATGGACTTAGTTCAACCATTGGGTTGGGGAGCTCTTGGTCTTGAGCAACGAGAGAGAGGTGGAGGATTCTGGTAGAAGCTTGGGTCGTGTATCTGGTGCATGTCTTCTCTTCCCAATCCATTTGTGTCCTCCTTCTGTTGCCACCCGGGCCCACCCATCCACAAACCCCTTTAGATGCCCTTTCCCTGGATATGTCTGTATACCCCCTCTACACTGCACAGGGGGGAAAAGGCTTTCTTTTTCTGTGTCTGATGACTGTAGTTAATGTCAGTTGATAGACTTGAGACTGCTTCAACCATTCTCACAAGTTGCACCATTGCCTCTTCCCTTCCAGTCCGTTGGCTCCGTCTACAGCGGCCTGATGCAGGGAGTGGGAGCTGCCGAGAAGGTGTTTGAGTTCATCGACCGCAAGCCAACGATGGTGAACGACGGGTCCCTGGCCCCAGACCATGTGGATGGGAAGGTGGAGTTCAGAAACGTGACGTTTTCCTACCGCACTCGCTCTGCAACGCAGGTCCTCCAGGTGAGCCCCGCGGGCGCAGAGCGCTCCCCACCACGAGGCATCACGCGCTGCTTCTCCATCACAGCAATAACCCATCCCCAGCCCACAGCAAGATGTCAGCTGCCCTTCTGGAGATGCATAAAAGCAGGCTCGACAGCACGCTGGAAAACAGATTATAGGGAACAGCGGGTGTTTAGGGCCGGCCTTCCTTACAAGGAATGAGATTTATTAATAAAACCCTTGTTCCCCGCTCCGGCATTAAAGACGTCAGCGTGGTACAGGGCTTTGTGCCAAGCTGTCTCAGACTGTTTCCATGGGAGAGGGGCTGGGGTCACGGGGCAGGGGAAGGCAGCAAAGAGGTCAGTTTGCTTTGCAGTTCTTAGAGGTCCTGCTACATCAGCAGGCAAATTTTGAAGCAATTTTGGAGGCAGCTCATTTCCTCAGGGCCAGGAGGTATGGCTGATGTGGCACATCACCAAGGTGGAGGGTCACCATGGCTGGATTTTGGCTACCTTTCTTGCATAGTGCCTGAGGCACTGCCCTGGGACCCTGGGAAAAGCCAGGACCTGAGCATGCTCTCCTCTCCATGTTGCAGAATGTGTCCTTCACCCTGCACCCTGGCAAAGTGACAGCGCTGGTGGGTCCTTCAGGGAGCGGGAAGAGCTCCTGTGTCAACATCCTGGAGAACTTCTACCCTCTGCAAGATGGGCAGGTGCTGCTGGACGGGCGTCCCATTAACATGTACGATCACAAGTACCTGCACTCAGTGGTACGAGCGACTGTATGTGTATTCTCACTATCGCCTGTCGTGATCAGAGGGGATGGATGGTAGCGTTGCATGTTGCTTTGGATTTGATCTGGCAGCTTCTGAAATGTCCAGGAAGCTGGAGGCTGGAGGTGGTCCAGAAAACTAATTCAGATAATCTGTGGGGGTGTAAGGGAAAAAGATGGAGAGTGGTTTCATGAGGAGGGGGAAGTCTTCTGAAAACAGAACAAGAAACATGTTTTGTTTTGTATTTTTTGGCCAACGCAGTAGAAATATGTTTTTAGTTGCTGGATTAATTATTTTCTAAATTGCGTTGGGGGGAAAAAAAAAAGTGTTTTGCATTCCTCCAACACTTTCTACCTTAAGATCCTAAAGTAAATCTCAGCTAATGGGGAGTTAAATCTCTCGGGATCCTGGCACCAGCTGGAGCACCAGAGGGGCTGGGTGGTTTGCCCAGGAGAGGGGTTCGGACCCCTCGGCTCTCATCTGTGTGTCAGCACAGATCAGCCTTCATCTCCTCTGCAAGTAACTGCCTTCTTTGTTTGTCCCCAAAGCAAATGGCCTCACCAGTCAGCAGGAAAACCTGAAAACAATTGATCAGAGACAGGCTGGAAAGCCAAAGTCAGTGTGACTAATTTACATTCCCTGCCTGTACTGAATGAAAATTAAAAGACAAGCTAGTCTTTCAGTTTAGAAAGCTTGGTGTGGTATTAGGAGCATGGGGAGAAGTCAATTAAAATATGACCATGTCCCGCTGGCTCTCTTCATGCCCAGTTCTGAGCAATAATTTGGAGGGTTCAATTCATTTCAATTTTGAGTGTTAGACAAAGCAGGCTGAATTTGAGAGTGAGCAACAACGGCTGTAAGGTAGGACAGGGAGGCTGTTGCTAAGCAATTAAGGAATTGCAGCAATGCCCCTAACTTGCTAATTTTGGATTAAACATGCAGGAGGGCTCATTCACGTGGCCTGAGCATGAACACTGGCCTTGAATGGAAAATCAGCAACACCCTAGGAGAGGTTCTCTCCGGCCTGCCTTGTTCTAGCAACTGGTTTCCCATTCTGAGATAAGCAAACAGTGATGGGAATGCCAAGTCTGGGGCAACACCACAGCAGGGTCATGGAGGGGGAAGCCCACCCCAGATGTCAGCCTACCAGCCTTGCATCAGGTTTCTTTCCTGAGAAATGGCTTCCCAGCAGAGGATGCAAACTGGTCTGGGGCTGCCTCTGGGCATCCCGTCATTAGCATCCTCACTGGAAGCTCACGTTGAGGAACTTCTTTTCTTGGTTCAATGGTGAGGCTCTGCCCACTTGAGTCCTTACCCATCAGGAACAAATGCCGATGACTCGAGATGTCAGGCAGAAATTCTTCTGCTCCCAACCACCTGCTTTTTCCCTTCCTTTCTGCAGATCTCCCTGGTGAGCCAAGAGCCAGTGCTGTTTGCCCGCTCTATTGCGGATAATATTTCTTATGGCTTAACTTCAGCCTCCTTTGAGTCAGTTGTTCAGGCTGCCCAGAAGGCCAACGCACACACCTTCATCACGGAGTTACAAGACGGATACCACACAGGTACCAAAATCCCTCCGTTTGCTCTTGAAAGCATTTTGTGCTTTGGTTCCAAAGCAGAAGCGTTTAACCTGCTCTTTGCTTCAAAGCGTGACACCATCCTGGTGCTGCTGGCTGGGAGCTGAACTTGATGGCAGCTCTTGATTTTTATTTTGACCTCTTCCTCTCTCCCTTGACCCAACAGAGGCAGGTGAAAAAGGAGCCCAACTCTCAGGTGGCCAGAAGCAGAGAGTGGCAATTGCCAGGGCCTTGATCCGAGCTCCCCCCATCCTAATCCTGGATGAAGCCACGAGCGCGCTGGATGCGGAGAGCGAGCACGCGGTGAGTAACTGACTCCGGTGTTTGGGCCAAAGAGACAATCTGGGTTTGGAGGAAAGCCTATAGCTCCAATTTCCAGCCTGTGGAAAGGCTTAGTCTTGTCAAGCTTAGTCTTGACATGGTGCAATCAGAGGTTTGGGTAAGACGCTAATTCCTGAGCAGGAATTTGCTTTCCAACACTGCTGTAGCCACCAAGAAGGGAATAATCCTGTGCTCACAGCAGCTGGCGCCTGGCAAACCTCATGAGATAGGGATCTCTGCTGATTTTTAAAATGTGAAAAGTGTTTATTGGCATGCAGCAGCACTGTGCAGCCTTCTAACACAGGATATGCAGGAAAAACCTAAAAAATGGTACTGCGGCAGGCGGAGCAGGACTGCCTGAGCTAAAATCCCAGCTGAGGCACCACAGATACCACACTGGCAGGAAAGGCCCTGAGCTTCCTGTGGTATCCAATGCCAGCCAGGGGCTGGTTTTGGCTAGCCAGGGGTGTCAGTGTGACATGTGGCCTGATGGCCATCTGCCTGCCTTTAGACCTTAGTGCCATTCTCTGTCCCTTGGCTAGCAAACAACTCTCTCTTGCTCTGCCTTGATACACCCAGGAGATAGCCCCGCTCTTCTGAGCAGCTGCCTTTACCAGGTATTGGCTTCCTGCAGTCCATGCCAACACCACGTGGCCTCCAAATTTGTGGTCCATCTCTGACAAGAACCCAGCTGGCAGGATCAGACCTGTGTGCATACCGCACCTGAGGGCTGGCTGGACTGAGATGGTCTTTTGGGCTGCATGGTGAGAGCCAGGAGTTGGGATGGACGTGCTGGAGCTGGTAGTGCTGCAGGGAGTCTTGTGTCTCCTCTGCATAGCCAGAGGAGAGCAAACTTCCCATCCAGAGGTCTCTTAACATGGAGCCACAAAGCTGCTGTTTCCGAAGCGGAGCCGGTGATGCTCGGGCACTAATGGCTTTTCCTCCCGTGCAGATTCAGCAGGCGATCTACGGCGACTTGGAGAACCACACGGTGCTTGTCATAGCCCACAGACTGAGCACTGTCGAGAAGGCACACAACATCATTGTGCTGGACAAGGGCCGCGTGGTGCAGCAGGGCTCGCACAAGGAGCTGATGGAAGAAGGAGGCCTTTATTCCAAGCTGGTGCAGAGACAGATCATGGGGCTGGAGGGGGGCGGCGCGGACGGTGGCCAACCCCCAGCCCGGGGGGATTCAGCGAAGGCGCCCGGGGGGCTGGAGGAGGAGTTCAGGATAGACCATTCCCTGCCGGCCGTGGCACAGGACGATTACAACACCACGGCTCACAAGTGAGAGCGGCGAGGGCCGGCGCTGGGGACGCTCGCTGGGACGCCGAGGCAGGAGGCGCCTTGCCTTGCCTTGCCTTGCCCGTGGGCTCGCGTGCTGCAGAACGACGGCCACTTGCTCACCCCACGCACGCCACACACCCGTGCACACACACACACACACACACACTCACTATAGAGCTTCCTGCATTACAGTCCAGCAGGCAAGTGCCAGCTGGTTAAAAAGGGAAATGGATTTATTTATTCAAGGGAGTTGGGTCTTTAGCAATTCCCAGTGTTTCTACTGGGTTTCTTTTTCTTACTACCAGTAATTCCTCTCTGGGACTTTTCTCCCACTGATATGCATGTGTAACTGCTATTAACTGTAATGGATGTTAAATGCATGCGTGGAGGGGAAGATTGAAAATCCCCTTCAGGAATTTCAGGGGGTGGCTTTTGTGGCTGGATAGAAAAACAGTGACCGTCAAACAAGGTCCTGCTCCCGCTGTCAATCCATGGGGCCAATCCAAAGCCTGCTGAAGCCTGTAGGGAATCTCCCTTTGGCTTTGGCGAAAACTGGATCGCTCCAGAGAGGCTGAACGCTGGGAGAGTTTTGCACTGAGTGCCTGCAGGCTCAGGCTCACAACCATTGCTGCTGAGCTCGTACCACGTAGTAACCATCCTTGCTGGACCGAGCCAGGGGACCAGGAGGCAGTTGTTGCTTTCAGATTTGCTCTTGGTGCTTGTTGTTCTTAAGGATGAAAAGTTTTACCGTAACTTGGTTAGGTTTGGGGTTTAGGGTTTTTTTGTTTGTTTGTTTGGGTTTGCTTTTTTCTTGTTTGTTTTGGTTTGGTTTTGTTTTTTTTTTTTTTAACGATATTTGTGTGCACTGTGCAATGTCTGTCTGGCTCCAGCATCCACTGAAAACTGCCCTTTTATTTCAGAATTTTTTTAACTCTCAATCCCAGTGCTGGTTTGAAAAAAAAATAAAACCAAACAAAACAAACAAAAAAAACCCAAATCCACACCACAAAACACTACTAAAGACAGGCATAAAATACTAAAAGACAGCACTTTATAAATCCCACCAAAGCTTTGTTCAGCTTCAGGCCATGCTAGTGACTCCACTGCATGGGAAGTCCATACAGTCACTTTCCTTGAAGTCTGACTTCAGCTGCCTGAACTTTAAAATGTGTTTCTCTGAATGTTATTTATTAACTTACTTTTAGTATGAGGAAGAGAAAGAAATAGATTGCTCCTAGCCCTTTTGGGTAATGGCTCTGGCTTAGTAGTGTTATCCTGCCGTAGACTGGTGTAGAAACCTATGCAGCCAGGCAGGCGCTGTTAAAAAAAAATAGCATTTATATGGGGAAGACTGACTTCAGACTGTGCATAGTTAAGAAATTATCTCAAGCACTTTAGCTCTCATGTTTTCCAATATTTGAATGCTGCTGTGTTTTACTTTTCAGCAGGTTTGCATTTCTGTTGTTGCCGATGTTTTGTTTTCGTTTCGTGATGTTTTACAAACTCTTTAGTGTCCTTGAGGAGGGATGCTCGAAAAATAAAATACTACCTCTGCCACTCAACATGGAGCCAACCTAGTGTGGGGGGGTGCTTTTTGCATTCAGGGTTTTTAAGGTAATGTTTGTCCGAGATGATGGCTGAATACAGCTGCATGCTGCACGTGTTCTGGCTCCCTTGCAGGGAACGTACAAGAAGAGCCTACGGAGAATTAGGTATGTAAAAGCCTTCAGCCTCTGACAATGGCAGTGAGCCATAGCAGTAGGTATAACCTGTTTAAGAACTTGTTTTCATCCTGAATGGGATCCGGTAGTCAGTCCTGGAGGAAAGGGCAGGCAGTCCAACCCGTTCTCAAAGCACAGTCCTTCGTGACTGGAATCTTCAGCTGCTTGCTTTTGGGATATGATAAAAATCTGTGCCTTGGAAGAATGAGAGCTCCTTTGCCTTATCTTCCTCCGCTTAGGAAACCTCCGTTGTGCTCTGAACTCCTCAGTTCACCACTTCAGTAAATGGCCAGCACATTCCTGCTCGATGAAAATTCGTACTGTGGGTATGAAGAGGTTGAGGGTTCCACCCAGTAATGGAGGGCAAGTAATTAAGTCTGGATTTTTATCAGTACCTGTGAGCAGAATGTGGCCAGCGGTTCATAGAAATGGAATTAATTTCTGCTTAATTGAAAAACCAGGGGGAAAAAAATTGGGTTACATGGGAACTAGGGAAGCCGACTCACCCTGGGAAGCGCTGGTAGGACAATGCTTGTTGGTACAAGAGATGCCAGAAAAGAGAATTTGATCGTATCATGTGTGTTCTTCCCCTGCAAAAAAAAAGGGGAATTGGAGGATACAATCGGATTCATTTTATTGCAAAGACTACAGTGAATTTCAGGAAGGGAGCCCTGCTTCCCAAGCCCGTTGTGATGATAATCCCAGCATCGTCCTCCCAGATCAGGTCCAAACAGCTTGAACTGCAGTGGCACATTGGAAACAGCGGATTTGTCTCTGCTGGTGGCACCAGTCCAAGCTGATAACAGGGACCGGCTTTGTTCATTGCCACAGGTGCTGAATTCTCTCTTTTGCATCCAGATAACTCAAGGCTACTTTTCCACAGAGCCTCACATCTCGTGGCTTGAAAAAGCCCTTTCATTGTGCTGTTGGTGTGTGACAAGGGGATCTGCCTGTATGCTAAAGGGTTTTCTTATGGCCTGGTGGGAGGTGCACACACCACCGGGGATCCAGCAGCATTCATCTAATGCAGACATTTCTGCCGGCCCAGTACAATCTCTGAGACTGTACAGAAAATCCTGCTTTTCAAAATCATTCCAACTATGACTTCTTTTTGAAGTGGGGTCGGAGAGGCCCGTTAGCTGATGTAAGCCTGGCAGTGAAGATGAGCTTAACCCAGCGCAGCAGTAGGCATTGCTCCAGTGCTGGAATAAGAGCCAGCTCTTGGAGCTGCCGTGTCTCTTGGGCTGCGCTGCCCGTGGGCAGCCTCTGTTTTTTCAGGCTATTCTCCTGGGAACGAGGCCACTGTTCCCTCTGAAACCCTGAACTGTTGTATTTTGTGGCTGTGGGTTTGCCCAGAGTTGACATTTACATGGGAACGCGAACAAGATCTGTTCGGGAGCTTCTCAGTTACAGACATGCAGATAAAAATTTCCTCTCCTCAAAAGGAAGAGTCTTCTCCGCAGGGAACTCAGATGGGTTTATCTGAAACCTCAACTCAGGGAGCACAGCTCGGAGACTGTCATGGCAGAGCTGGAAGCGTTCAGGCATTTGAAAGCACAACTGATTACAAAGGTTGCCTGTATATTTCAGAGCAGGTTGTTCTCCTCACTATTAATTAGCTCTAGCCATTCCTTGTAATAGTTATAACCACAGCTTTATTTGATTTAAACACTGGAGAACCCTACCCAAGATGACATGCAAGAGTAGGTCCTATAGTCCTGGTGATTCCCCAAGGACACGTATTTACCCCCTTTGCACAGACAAGCTATGTGGCTGACTGACCCAGTAAATGAGAACTCAGTGTAATGGAAAAATCACAGCTGTGTTTATTCCAACAACTTGTCTCCCAGTACACCAAACTCTGCCTGAATAAGCAATTGTGTGTGTGTTTCAGCGGCTGCGCTTTCTAGGCCTTCAGCAGGTCTGGAAATACCACAAGCAAATAGACAGAGTGCTTCTAGCTCAGGTTCAGAGAAGCATCTTAGGCTGGGGAGGAAAACCAGCATCTGCTTTTTCCACTGCAGCTTCACTGTGAGCTTAAGGCAAAGAAAATATCTGCAGGTACATAAACCTGCTCCCCTTCCCACGCCTGAGGCTCCCTGAAAGAAAGGAGAGAAGTACTAACAATTAATTCTTGCTCTCTCAAACAGCAGGACCACTGTTTCTTGCCCAGGATTTTGAATATGCAGGTCATTTTCATGTGTGAAGGAATCTGGATTATGAAATCTAAACAGACTGTGATTAATACATAGAAGGAAATTAAATTGCAAATAAGCCTAAAACTTATCTGTCCATTGAGCAACCAGGCTAATAAGGGTTAATAAACGCCAAAGATTAGACTTGCAAATTCAGCCTCTATGTAACCAACCAGTTTTTCCAGGAAAAGAAATGAAGTTGTTGTGAAGGTGACTTGCAAAATATGTCTAAATCTAATAAATATGCATAGGTACAGTGCTACTGACCGTAAAAGGATATGAGGTGACAGAAGGAAATCCAGGATCAAGTTTAAAAAGAAAAAAAAATATCTAACTTCTAATTTAAACTAGGCTGGATGCCAGTTCTCCCCAAGACTGAAGCCTGACTCCTTATTCACCATGACATGGTTTCCACTGCAATCTTCCCAATTTTTTTGTTCCATTTCTCCTGTTATAAGAATCCCTTACTCTGTACTTTGCTTACTTACAGTTTTAATGTTCATGAATACTGTCACCCTTCGAAAGGATTTTAGCAAAGGCAAATAGGAACCAGGGCTTGGTAGCTGATAAATCTCAGCCTGCAGCACTGCAATGTTTGATAATCCCTGTAGCCCAAAATCCCAGTTTATCTGCAGTCCTTCATATTCTGTCCAAGTGATGTGCTGTCACAAAACCTTTATCTTTCATGAAAACTGCTGAATGGAAAGGCAACTTCCTACCTGTCCAAGCAGAATATATAATTATACAAAAGCAGCTGACCCCTATCTTGTCTCTCAACCTCAGCTGCTTTTCTGGCTAAACATGAGAACTCAATCACATGCAGATGCTGATCAAAGTACTTGAAAGCAGACCAGATGTTTAATATCTACAATCTAACATCCCTACAGAGCCCAGGCATACCTACACAGGGAGAAGTGGTATTTTTAAAATATGTTGTACTTGAGCACAAATGATTTATGTTAATTTGTGCATTTTGTGAGGACTTCATTGTTCTGCATCATGCAGCTTCTAATTTTAATACAGATTACCACTAATTCAAATAATCCATTCCTTGATGTCTAGAGCAGCGAACTTTCATCAACCCCATGCAACATACACAAAAATTAGTTACAGAAAAGCTGCTTAGAAGGTCACTGTAAACCATCTCTCCTGACAGCATGTTGACAATACAATTATTATCATACTGTAGTGCCCTTCACCGGAGACACTCACCCAGAGTACCTCTACAAGCATTATTGAGCATGAACTTCTCCTCTCCATGCTCAGCCTGGGACTGAGCAGTTATTGTTATAACTCAGTTTAAGCAAAAGGCACTATGGTTGTGGGAAGCTGAGAACTTCACTCAGGATCACACAGAAAGGCAGTGGTAAAACGAGATTTACAACATGAAGCTGAGTCAGACTCCTCTAAACCACACTCCCCCCATACCAATTATTTAGCTATCCTATGAGGTTCACATCACTAACGTTCTTGGGAAGAAAGGGCTTCTTTTAATCCCTCAACTAATTCTTCTATTTGTGTATGTGTATATATATACATGTGTGTGTGTATGTTTGCATGTGCAGATTTACAATCTGGTTTAACACAAGGGTGTAACATTGTCTTTTTGATGGGCATGTGCAAATACAGTATATGGTATCATGTTGGCATGGCAACTATCTACCGGTTTTAAATAACCAGGTCAGGCTGCAGTGGTCGTGCAAACCCATGTTGCTGCCTGTGGGTACAGCTGCTTACTCACCTGTGCTGCCAGCAGAGCACCCCACACGAGGAGGGGCTCAGCACATACCACAGCAACAGGCTTGAGGTGGATGAGTGGACACATGCCCGGGTGGCTAATCACCTTCTCCCCACCCTACGCAAGCTCAGCTTCCTGCTGCACAAACATCCCGCTCTTACCTACCTCTGAATATGCTCGGTTTGCATCGTGGTTGTACAGCAGCTTTGCAGCCAAGCAGCCAGGATGCCTTCTTCCAGTGGAGTTACGTTGTTGGTTTTCACTATCTGAAGATAATAATGACAGAGAGGACTTCTGCAGGGGTGAGAGGACTGAAGAGCTGAGTTTAGTTACAGAACAAAAGAACAAACATACAGTTGTCATGTCTTCCCTCAGTTCTGCCAGGAAGTACCAGATTACCTTCTGAATGTATCATTACATTTTAATAGCATTACATCAGAGATCGATTCAGGTCCCTATATTGATTTTTTTTTCTCCTGTTAGATCGAAAATGTCAAATACAAAAGACAATGACCACGTGGCCATTCCCTACCCTGTTCCTTTGGCTCAGGTGCTCCTTCTGGTTCTCGCTCTGGTGTTGCACACACGGAACCGAGCACACCCACGCCCACGATCCTTTAGCTACAGCAGCAGGCCAGGAAGGTGGTGCATGCCTAGATATGCATACAACTTGGGCTACGTTAACACAATTCATTATTTCCAGGCATAATTGTCTTTATCAGCTACGCTAATATCAGTTGTAATTGGAGAAATGGTGCTCCAAAGTGTTGCCACAGAGCGCCTAGTAAAGTGTTGTTGACTTAATAGACAGAAATCAGAAGAACAAAGTTTAGATATAATGTTTTAATTGATGCAGAGCTTTTGCAACATTACATTTCAAAAGCATTTAAATTCACCATAAAATACATCTTTCTTAGATCATTATTGACCTTTACTCTTGGAGAAATGCTTAAGGCAGACAAAAAGACCTAGCACCACAGCTTGGCAAGATACAATTTCTAGCTATTTTTAACCTAAATAGGTATTCAGCCTGGACGGGAGAACAATAATGCAGTCACTCTTTTGAGATTTACTGTAGCCAATTCCCATGCTGCTAAGGAAGTGCAACTTAAATAATTCTACCCACTTTCCTTCCCAATTTACAGAAGAAATTTTTTCACTGAAAGGGTTATCAGACATTGGAATGGGCTGCCTAGGGAGGTGGTTGAGGCACCATCCCTGGAGGTGTTCAAAAGACGGGTTGATGTAGTGCTGGGAAGTATGGTTTAGTGATGATGCTCCTTGTTTGTTGTGTGGGTGTCTATTTTTGTCAGTTTGGTTGACGGTTGGACAAGATGATCTTTAAGGTCCCTTCCAACCTAGAAGATTCTGTGATTCTGTGATCTTTATGAACCACCGCTCGGCCTCCCTCAGCGGGAGCCAGACCCAGGCTGGCCACCGCCACCCCGGGACCCTTCTGCTGCTCTGCTTGGCTGGCACCCCATGGTGGGCTTCGTCCAACACTAACACCCTCGCGTGGGCTCTCCTACAGCCACCCCCTCGCCCCCGGATCCCCTCGGGCCTCATCGCCAAGCACCCTCCTCCCCTCTGGTGCAGGGGGACCCTCCCCGCCACCACCCCCCTGTGGTACCGTCCGCTCC